AGGAGTAGATATACGGCCACATCGGGGCTCAGTTAAAAGTGGTCAGCTTGCTAGCAGCTTCGGCTGGAAGAAGGGCGCGATGGTGTACGGGCCAATAGCTGGTCGAACCCGTGGCTAGAGGGGCGCAAAAACTCGCGAGGCGTGTGCACACACGGGGCTCGAGCGGCGAGCAGAGCGTGAGTGCCAGGCATGTGATGGCTTATAGTCCGAAGAATCGGGCTGCCTCTTCGTCGGCATCCTCGTCGTTCATTGGCTGATCCGACTGAACAGGCGGGTAATCGTCCGCTGGCGGTAGGGAGGCCGCCTCGTCCCTACCCGAGACAGTTGGCGGTAGGGAGGCCGCCTCGTCCCGACCGTGCGAGAAGAGGGGATGGGAGCTGGAACGCACAAATCGCACAGGCCTGCTCAGGGCGTTCATTTCGAGGGGACGTAGACACAGCATGCCAGCTCCTCCTCGAGCCAGCTAGGCGGCGCCACGCCCGTGTGGATCGTCCATTTGTTGTCGAAACGGATCGCCGCCAGCACATGGGTCCGCAAAGACCACCCTCTCATGGCCACGATCACCTTGGTGTCGGCCTCCTTGTAGCATCTCTCTGGGCGCAGAAGCGCCGCGTGCTCTTCGATGTCCGTGCGCGTCACCAGCGGATCCATGTCCGTGTCCTGGCCGCTCTCCCCCTTGACCTTCGTGAGCCATTCCGTGAAGAGCTCCTTGTGCTTGCCGCCGATGTCGCACTGGGTGAGCGCCTCCACGAACGCCACCGTGAGGCTGGCCGTCGGTGTGCCCAGGGCCTTCAGCAGGGTCGTGGAGTCCGTCGCCTTGCGGGCGTCCTCGATCCGGTTCCGAGAGCTCTCGACCTCGTCCCCGAGCGCGACCACGATGGGGTGCGTCGTCGGGAAGATGATGGTGTCCACCGTTGTCGCCATGGCCATGCGCGTCCGGTGCGCGTTCTGCAGCACCAGCTTGCAGAGAGCGGGCAGCAAGTCCGAGAGGTTCTTGTCCTTCGACGTCCACTGCTTGCCGCTGTGCTGGCCGCGACGGCCTCCGCGGCGGCGGCGTCGGGGCTCGCCCGTCGCGGCGGCTGCCTCTCCGCGCTCCGCGGCGGCTGCCGCTCCGCGCCTGCCGCCCTCTTATTGTCCTTCTTCGCCTCCTTGGCTGGCGGCTCCTCGTCTGCGGCGCTCGCTGGGCTTCCTCTGCCACCATTGCCAGACTGGCCCGAGGACTTCGACAGGCGCCAGGCTGCGCGGGGCTTCGCCTTGTCCGCCATCGAGTTGTCCGTCGGGAGCGTCAGGGGCCACGGGTAGCACGGGCGTAGCAGCAGCACGAACGTGTGGATGGTTTGCAGCCCCCCTGGATGCAGTGCCCCCGAGGGTCGGCGGCGCGGCCGCCGCAGGTCGGGGTCGCGCCCGTCGCACTGGCCCTGCGGGCAGAGGAGGTGACGAGGAGGAGGAGGAGGAGGAGGAGGAGGAGGAGGAGGAGGAGGAGGAGGAGGAGGAGGAGGAGGAGGAGGAGGAGGAGGAGGAGGAGGAGGACGAGGAGGAGGAGGAGGAGGAGCAGGGACCTCGCTCTCAGGCAGGGGGATGATGAAGATGGAGGACGCGGAGGAAGAGGAAGCCTGGCGTCATCAGCAAAACCATCTGCAGGTACGCATGCAGAGAAACTCTGCTTCTGCGTGATGGCCAGGTGATGGACATTGTCAACTACCCACTTTGTGAACGCCGGAGACCTGAAGAATGCTGGGAGACTTGCTGCCCTCTCCCCCGCTCTGAAACCAACCGTTGTCACTCTCTCTGCTTCTCTCTCTTTTTTCCCCCGTCGCTATATGCACAGAACATCTGGCCCACAACAACTGTTCATCAAATAGCTGCCTGGAAAAGGTCGTGGCCCACTCTCCTCGGCAATTCGAACTGACCTACGTCAATTGATGCACCTCCCGTGTGCAATCTCGGCAACTAAATACTGCGCTGATGAAAGATGGCAGCCACGCTGGGCGGAATCAGCACTCGACGAGGCGGCCACTTCAAAGCAAAATGCACTATTTGGGTTGGCTCGTGCTATATTGATACCAAGACATCGCCAAGCAGATTCGGGGGTCTCTGCGCTCTCTGTTCGGAAACCTTTCGCGCGCAAGCTGGGTCAAACCGGTCTCCTTTCAAACGGGCCTCTCACTTTTAAGTGCTTGAGTGTGGTATCTTGCAATGTCATGTGAATGTGTCTGTGGTAAACGGCAAGCCTCTGATGCTGGTAAGCGTCACCATGAACCCACGAATCGACCATTGCATTCTTTTTCAGAGCCTCGGTGCTGTCGTAACTCTTAGAGACCTCCGAGATGGGGTCCGATTAGATGGGGTCGAAGGATCGCGCCGCATCGCCAATGCACCAGCGATGCATCGGCCACGTCGGCGATGCGGCGGCGACGTCGGCGCGCTGAAAAATCGGGCTCCATATCGAGCCGCATCGCCGACGCACCAGCGATGCGGTGCGATCCTCCGACCCCGCCTGCTCCGACCCCGTCTAGGAGGCCTAGAACTCGGGGTTCGGGCTTCAGCATGGATAGACAAGCGCGTTCCACTACTCGCAAATCAACCACTCGCAAATTGCATGGATCCTCCACGGGGGGGATTTACGACACATTGCATAGAGGAAGACCTGTATAGTTCGGACGTTTGCGAGCAGGCACTTTGCGAGTAGTGGAGCGCGCTCGGCGAATGGATGAGCTCCTCGGCCGGTCTGCTTTCGCCTCGCCGAGGGCGGTGCCAGGGCACGACCCTGGCGCCCTGCTCCAGAGGCGGCCGCGGGGCGGCCGGCGCGCGCGGTTCGGCGCCGCGGGCCCTCCCACCCCCCGGCAGGGGCCCCCCGGCGGCGGCCCGAGGGGGCGGCATCCCGGGCGGCCCCGTGGCCGCAGGGAGGGACGGACGTCCGGCGGCCGGAGACGCAGGGGAACAAACAGTGACATGCGTAGACATAAACAGAAACTCCGAGGTCCGCGCGGGCGAAGCCCCCTGGCGGTGCCTCCAGCGGCGCCCCTGGCGCGCTCCGCGCGCCAGGGAAAGGGGGTCCAACGCCGATCCGAGAACTCCGCGTTGTTGTGCTCATGCCGTTTTTCGTTCCCCTAAGACAGGCCCGCGCCAGAGGTTGCCGTGAAGCAGACACGGGCCCTGGGGAAAAGACCCCCCCCCCCGGATCTTTCTGTTCACTGCCCTTTCGGCCCTGGACGGTGCCCTCCACGGGCTCGGGGGCCGTCAAGAAGCGGGCCGGGATGACGAGTTGGTCCTGGGGAGAGCACCCTGGTCTGGCTTCCCTCAGGGCCCCCTTGATGGGCGGCTCGGCCTGACCGCCCCGCCGCAGACAAGCGCCGGCGGCTCACTACGCCTGCCAGGGTGGCGGCGGGCTCTCTCGAGAAGGTCACGCCAAGGGCGAGATGAGGAGGGAAGGGCGGCGTGTCCCCTCCCCCCACTTTCCTCTTCCCCTACTGCCCCGCGAGCGTAGAAGCCGCCTGGCACTTTCCAGCAAGGGTTGACGAGGGGTTCCCCGAGGCGCCCGTCGGTGGCTCAGGGAGGAACGGTGGAACCTGAAACCTCCCATTCCCATTTTTACGGCCCATCGAGCGGCGTCAGCCGCGCAGCCGAGCGAACGAGGCAGCGCGGTGGCAGCGGCAGAGGCAACCGACGGAGCAGCCTGGAAAGCCTGGGCCAGGACCGGCCATGCCAGCGGGAGGAGAAGGGGGGAGCAGGACCTTAACTGCTCCTTCTCCTCCTCCTCCTGCTCCTTCTCCTCCTCCTCCTCCTCCCCCTCCTCGTCGTCCTCCTCCCCCTCCTCCTGCTCCTTCTCCTCCTCCTGCTCTCCTGGTGCGGAGGTTGCTAAGACTGTTCTCGAGATGCGCCCCGAGGGAGACCCGCAGGCCTCCCGAGGGGAGAGGCCCACGGAGCTGGGTCCTCGTTTTGAAAAACAGCGCGCCGCTTTCCTCCTCTCCTCTCCTCCTCCTCCCCCTCCTCCCCCTCCTTGCCTCTGCCCTCCGTCCCTCACACGTTTCGTCGCCCCCTAGGGAACTCCACCGAAGGCCCGAGTGGCACAGTCCGCATAGAGTACCCGCATCCGACTTGGCACACCCCTCATACGTTTCGTGGCCCCATAAGGAGCTCCACCGACGGCCCAATGGCACAATCCGCATGGCGTACCCGCATCCGATTTGGCACACCCCTCACACGTTTCGTGGCCCCATATAAACAAGAGCTCCACCGAAGGCCCCAGTGGCACAGTCCGCATGGCGTACCCACATCCGATTTGGCACACCCCTCACACGTTTCGTGGCCTCATTTTTTGGTTATCTCCACCGAAGGCCCCAGTGGCACAGTCCGCCTGGCGTACCCGCATCCGATTTGGCACGCCCGTCACACGTTTCGTGGCCCTATATGGATCTCCACCGAAGGGCCCAGTGGCAGTCCGCATGGCGTACCCACATCCGATTTGGCACACCCCTCATACGTTTCGTGGCCCTATATGGATCTCCACCGAAGGGCCCAGTGGCAGCCCGCATGGCGTACCCATATCCGATTTGGCACACCCCTCGCACGTTTCGTAACTCAAAATGGAGCTGCACTGAAGGCCCCAGTGGCGAAATCCCCATGGCGCACGCGCATCCGATTTGGCACACCATTTACACGCTTTGTGGCCTCATATGGAGCTCCCCCAAAGGCCCCAATGGCACAGTCCGCAAGGCGTGCCCACATCCGATTTGGTACACCCCTCACACGTTTCGTGGCCCCATACAGGGCTCCACCGAAGGCCCATTGGCACAATCCGCATGGCGTACACGCATCCGACTTGGTACACCCCTCACACGTGTCGTGGCCCCATTAAAAAAAAGTCTACACCGAAAGCCCCAATGCCACAATCCGCATGGCGTATCAGCATCCGATTCGGCACACCCCTCACACATTTCGTGGCCCTATAGGGAGCTGCACTGAAGGCCCCAATGCCACAGTCCGCATGGCGCACCCGCTGTCGATTTGGTACACCCCTCAAACGTTTCGTGGCTCTATGGGGTGCTGCACCGAAGGCCCCAATGGCACAGTCCGCATGGCGTACCCGCATCCGACTTGGTACACCCCTTACACGTTTCGTGGCCTCATTGGGAGTTCCACCGAAAGCCCCACGGGCGGTGTTCGCATGCGTTTCCCCCACCGCAGGCCCTAGTGGCGATGTTCACATGCGTTCCCCCCGCCCATCGCAACGCTTCGTAGCCCCATGTGGAGCGCCACCGAAGGCTCCAGTGGCAGTGTTCGCATGCGTTTCCCCACCCACTAGAACGTTTCGTGACCCTTTATGGATCTCCACCGAAGGCCCCAGTTGCGGTGTTCGCATGCGTTCCCTCCACCCAGTACAGCGCTTCGTGACCCCATAGGGAGCTCCACCGAAGGCCCCAGTGGCGGTGTTCGCATGCGTTTCCCCCACCCAGCACAGCGTTTCGTGGCCCCATCAGTGGCGGTGTTCGCATGCATGTCCCCCACCCAGCACACAATTTCGTGGCCCCACAGGGAGCTCCACCAAGGGCCTCAGCGGCGGTGTTCGCATGCGTTTTCTCAGCCCAGTGCAACGTTGCGTGGCCTCATAAGGGGGTTCCACCGAAGGCCCCAGTGCCGGTGGCTTCATGCGTCTCCCCTACCCAGTGCAGCGCTTCGTGGTTTTATAAAGGGGGGCTTCACCGAAGGCCCCAATGGCGGTGTTCGCATGTATCTTCCCCAACCAGTACAACGCTTCGTGCCCCCATAGGGAGCTCCACCGAAGGCTCCAATGTCGGTGTTGCGTTTCCCCCACTAGCACAGCGCTTCGTGGCTCCATAGGGAGCTCCGCCGACGGCCTCAGTGGCGGTGTTCGCAAGCGTCTCTCACACAGGAGCTCCAGCGAAGGCCCGAGTGGCGGTATCCGCATGCGTTTCCCCCACTCAATACAGCGTTTCGTGGCCCTGTAGGGAGCTCCGCTGAAGACCCCGATGGCGACGTTCGCATGGCGGCCCCGCTCCATTTCGGCACACCCATCACACGTTTCGTGGCCTCATAGGGAGCGCCACCGAGGGCCCCACTGGCTGCGCCCGCATGCGTCCCCGCCCCATTTCGGCACACCATTTACACGCTTCGTTGCCCCATAAACACATCCACTGAAGGCGACGCCCACAATGGCGATACTCACCAATGCATCTGGTTGGGCCCTTCGCCAGGGCAATTCTTTCATTTTGTTTTCATTCTTTCCGGTAACGGTCGTTTCCCTGGTGGGGTAGGGGAGGGCTTGGGACCCGGGACACGGTTACGCTTGGGCGGGGTGGGCCACGTCGGGGCGGGGGTGCGCTGCGATTGACATGGAATGCGCGCGAGCACCAGTATGCGGGGAGACCAAGCCTCTCCCCCACGCACAATACAATCGATCGTTACGGTTACCCTGGGGGCGGTGAGAGCAGCTTGGTCAGGGTAACGACCATTACGCGCCAGAGAGCAACAAGAACCATCCCGAGGGGGAGGGCGGGAGGGAGGGAGGGAGGGAGGGCCTCCCTCCCTCCATCTCCCTCCCCTCCCCTCCCCTCCCCTCCCTCCCTCCCCCCGCCAGCGCCACGAAGACGCCGCTGGCTGCTGCGAAGCCCCTCTGCGGCCCTGCGCCCCAGAGGGCCGCTGGCGGGCTCCACCTCCTCCGGGTGCTGCCAGCGGCGTGCGCGCCCGGCCAGGCCCCTGGGGTAGCTCTGGGCTGCCGGGGCTCGCCTCCGCAGCCTCCGCGGCCGGCCCCTGCCCCTCAGGGTGCGTTTTCCTTGCCATCGTCAGGTCGGGCCTGTCCCGCTACAGGCCGATTTTCGAGGACAAATTCGAGACAGTCAGCACATATTCAAACATGGTCAAAGAATACTTACAGCGTAATCCCCAGACTAATTCCCAACCATCCTGTGGTGTTGGGTCCTCGCTTTGAGGAGACAGCGCCCCGCGTTCCTCACTCCTTCCTCCTCCCCCTCCTCCCTCCTCCTATCCTCATCATCATCATCACCATCACCATCATCATCATCATCATCATCATCATCATCATCATCATCATCATCACCATCATCATCATCATCATCGTCGTCATCATCATCGTCATCATCATTATCAGCAGCATCATCCTCATCATCGCCACCACCACCACCATCATCATCATCATCATGATCATGATCATGATCATCATCATCATCATCATGATGATCATCAACATCATCAACATCTTCATCATCATCACCATTATCATCATCCTCATCATCTTCATCTTCATCTTCATCATCACCATCATCTTCATCATGATCATGATCATGATCATGATCATCATCATCACCATCACCATCACCATCACCATCACCACCATCACCATCATCACCATCACCATCACCATCACCATCACCATCACCATCACCATCACCATCACCATCACCATCACCATCATCACCATCATCACCATCACCATCACCATCACCATCACCATCACCATCACCATCACCATCACCATCACCATCACCATCATCATCATATCATATCATCTTCATCATCATCATCATCATCATCATCATCATCATCATCATCATCATCATCATCATCATCATCATCATCATCATCGTCATCGTCATCGTCATCGTCATTGCCATCATCAGTGGGGGTGCCCGCATGCGTCCGCCCCAACCTCCCAACCTGTAAGGCGTTTCGTGGCCCCATAGGGGGCTCCACCTGCGGCCCCAGTGGGGGTGGCCACATGCGTCCGCCACACCCATGTCGGCACACCCCTCATATGCTTCGTGGCCTTCTAGGGAGCTCCACCTAAACACCCAGTGGGGGTGGCCACATGCGTCCGCCACACCCAGTACAAAGCTTCGTGGCCCCATCGGGAGTTCCACCGGAAACCCAGTGGGGGTGGCCACATGCGTCCGCCACGTCCAGTACAGCGTTTCGTGGCCCCATGGGGAGCTCCACCAAAGGCCCCAGGTTGGGGTGGCCACATGCGTCCGCCACACCCAGTGCAGCGCTTCGTGGCCCTAAAGGGAGTTCCACCGAAGGCCGCAGTGATGGTGGCCACATGCGTCCGCCACACCCAGTACAGCGTTTCGTGGCCTTATAGGGTGCTCACCGAAGGCCCGAGTGGGGGTGTCCGCATGCGTGCGCCACACTCAGTACAGCGTTTCGTGGCCCCATAGGGAGTTCCACCTGCGGCCCCAGTGGGGGTGCCCGCATGCGCCCGCCACGCCCAGTACGCCCGTAACACGCTTCGTGGCCCCATGGGGGACTCCACTGAAGACCCCTGCGGGTTCGCTTGGCGGCGTCGCCTCCATGTGATGATGATGATGACGACGATGATGATAATGATGATGCTGATGATGATGATGCTGATGATGATGATGATGATGATGATGATGATGATGACGATAATGATAATGATGACGTTTCGTGGCCCCACAGGGAGCTTCACCGAAAGTCCCAATGGCGCGGTTCGCACGCGTCCGCCACACCCAATTCGGCACACCCGTTACACGCTTCGTGGCCCCTGTAGTTCCAGTGGCGGTGTCGCCACGTGCGGCCTTCCCTCCTCATATGGGCTGGCGTTGTCGGGCCCATGGCGACGTGGTCTATGCGCCTCGCCAACTCCCATCACTTATTATCCTTCTCCCTCCGTCTCTCTCCACCTCCTTCTGCTCTCCCTCCTCGTTCTCCCCCACCTCCTCCTTATTCCCAACCATCCTGTGGTGTTGGGTCCTCGTTTTGAAAAGACGGTCCCCGCGTTCCTCGCTCCTTCCTCCCTCCTCCTTCGCCTCCTCCCTCCTCCCCCTCCTCCCTGCGTTTCACCCACCCAGTACAGCGTTTCGTGGCCCCATAGGGAGCTCCACCCGAGGCCCCAGTGGGACCGCCCGCATGCGTCCCGAAAACCAAATTTGGCACACCCCTCACAAGTCTCGTGGCCCCATAGGGAGCTCCACCGAAGGCGCCAGTGGGACCGCATGCGTCCCGAAACCCAATTTGGCACACCCCTCACAGGTTTCGTGGCCCCATAGGGAGCTCCACCGATGGCCCCAGTGCGACCGCCCGCATGCGTCCCGAAAACCCAATTTGGTACCCTCCTCACATGTTTCGTAGCCCCATAGGGAGCTCCACCGAAGGCCCGAGTGCTACCGCCCGCATGCGTCCCGAAAGCTCAAGTTGGCACACGCCTCATACGTTTCGTGGCCCCGTTGGGAGCTTTACCGAAGGCTCCAGTGCCACCGCCCGCATGCGTTCCCCACACTCATTTCGGCATACCCCTCACACGTTTCGTGGTCCCATAAGGAGCTCCACCGAAGGCCCCAGTGCTACTGCCCGCATGCGTCCCCCCACCCAGTACAACGTTTCGTGGCCCCACAGGGAGCTCCACCGAAGGTTCCAGGTCTACCGCCCGCATGCGTCCCCCCGCCCAGTACAACGTTTCGTGGCCCCATAGGAAGCTCCACCGAAGGCCCCAATGCTACTGCCTGCCCCCACCCAGTACACCGTTTCGTGGCCCCATAGGGAGCTCCACCGAAGGCCCCAATGCTACCGCCCGCATGCGTTTCCTCCCACCAGTGCAGCGATTCGTGGCCCCGCCGAAGAAGTTATTCACAATTGTGGTACCCACAACTGCATATGCTTGGGTCCTTGGCCAGGGTAACTTTTGACCATTTGTGAATGGTCCGCCTGTCGAGGGACAGGCCCGACTTAATGCCAACTCTCAGACGTCAATTCCCCGTGCATTTTTCTGTTCTGTGCCCTGCTTTTTCGCAAGATGATCCATGATGCTCCTCGATGGTCCTGGCCGAGGCAAGAAACGCACACGCCCGAGCGGTGCCAGAGTGTCCTCAGGGCGGCCACCCAGGCCCGCGAAAGCCTGGGGAGCGCGACGACGGGGGGGCATGCCGACCCCGTGATCCCCAGCTCTCTGAGGCTTTCGCCTCGACCAGAACTTCGCGGCCCAAGTCGGGCATACACATTCCCCAATCAGTGCTTGCACTGAAGGGGTCCTAGCGGAAATTGAAAGATTCGGCGAAAATTTCTCGTCGATTTTGGCAGCCGGCTGGGATCCCGGGTTCCTGGTTCCGGGTTCCCAAGTTCCTGGTTATTGGTTCCGAACCGATTTCGGTGGGTTCCGGGTTCCCGGGTTCCTGGTCGATCTCCTTATCGATCTCTTCATCGATCCCACGATTCATCAAACCATCCACTGATTGGGTTTTTCTCCGGTGTAATATACATATATCGGAGGTTGGGGGGTGAGATCGCAGTGGAACGGAGACCCCCAACCGGGAAAGCGTTTCGTTTCGTTTGTGTCGTGCGTGCGGGCGAGGCGAAGCTGCGTGGGCGCGCGAGAGGAATGAACCCGCCGTTGCTAGGGCGAAGTCGAAACAAATGATTCTCCGCCGCCCGTCCGCCCGACCAGCGGTGGCTTGCGGTGTCCCGCGGTGTCCCGTGGTGTCCCGTGGTATCCGCCGTTGCTGAGGCGAAGTCAAGACAAATGATTTTCCCCCGCCCGCCCGTCCGTCCGTCCGTCCGGCGGTGGCTCGCGGTGTCCCGCGGTGTCCCGTGGTGTCCCGTGGTATCCGCCGTTGCTGAGGCGAAGTCAAGACAAATGATTTTCCCCCGCCCGCCCGTCCGTCCGTCCGTCCGGCGGTGGCTCGCGGTGTCCCGCGGTGTCCCGCGGTGTCCCGTGGTGTCCCGTGGAGTGAGATCGATAGTGAGATCGATACTGAGATCGATTGTGAGATCGATAGTGAGATCGATACTGAGATCGATGTGGTGCCCCGTGGTGTCCCAAAAAGTGAAATCGATAGTGAGATCGACAGGTTTCCCGTGATGCCCCGTGGTGTCCCGTTGAATGAAATCGATCGTGAGATCGATACTGAAATCGATGTGGTGCCCCGAGGTGTCCCGTGGTGTCTCAAAAAGTGAGATCGACAGTGAGATCGATAATGAGATCGACAAATGTCCCGTGGGGTCCCGTTGGGTGAGATCAATAGTGAGATCGATAGAGAGATCGATAATGAGATCGATGTGGTGTTCCGGGGTGTCCCGTGGTGTTCTATGGTGTCCCGTTGAATGAGATCGATGGTGAGATCGATAGTGAGACCGATAATGAGATCGAGGGGTGTCCCGCTGTGTCCCGTGGTGCCCCGTGGAGTGAGATCGATAGTGAGATCGATAATGGGATCGACAAGTGTCCCGTGGTGTCCCGTGGTCACTACGTCCGCGTCGCCGGGGCCGAAGCCGCTCCGCCGCCGTCGTCGTCGTCGTCGCCGCCGCCGCCGTCGTCGTCGTCGCCGCAGCCGCCGTCGTCGTCGTCGTCGTCGTCGTCGTCGTCGTCGTCGTCGTCGTCGTCGTCGTCGTCGTCGTCGTCGTTGTCGCCGTCGCCGTCGCCGTCGCCGTCGCCGTCGTCGTCGTCGTCGTCGTCGTCGTCGTCGTCGTCGTCGTCATCCTCGTCGTCTTCGTCATCGTCAACGTCAGCGTCGACAGCTCCGCGCTCTGGAGGCCAGCGGCGACCCTCCGCCATTGGGCTCCCGAGGAAGCCTCTTGGCTGAAGGGACAGGCCCGCCGCCGTGGCCGCCCAGCACGGCCGCCACGCGACCTCATCATCAGGGAGCATTTTCGAGGCGTGGGGGGCTCGGAGCGAGCCCTGGGGATGCCTGCTGAAGCTCCCTGGGAGCCTGAGAGAACTTCTGCGGGTCTCTCGGAGATTCGCCCTCGGGCGTTCCGAGGATTGTCGTAGCAATCTGTCAGCAGCACCATCAGCATCAGCAGCGTCAACATCTTCATGTTCGTTATCGTCATCGCCATCGTTATCATCATCAGCAGCATCAGCATCATCATCACCATCACCAACACCAGCACTATCACCATCATCATCAACATCATCATCATCACCATCATCATCAACATCATCATCAGCATCACCACCACCGCCATCATCATCAGCAACATCATCACCATCATCACCAGCATCATGACGTTAGCATCATGAGCATGCTCATCATTATCATCACCCTCCTCTTCCTCCTCCGCCACCTCATCATCATTCTCATCATCATCCTCGTCATCAACATCATAAGCATCGCCACCACCATCATGTGATCTCCATCGTCATCATCACCATTACCATCTTCAGCATCATCATCGCTATCATCATTATCATCAACATCACCATCATCATGATTACCATCGCAACTACTATACTCACTACGATCATCAGCATCACCATCAGCAACATGAGCAACACCACAACCATCATCATGATCATATTAATGCTCATCACAATGCTAATGATGATGATGATGATGATGATGATGATGATGATGATGATGATGATGATGATGATGATGATGATGATGATGATGATGATGATGATAATGATGCTGATGACACTGATGATGATGAGGATGATGATGATGATGTTGATGATGATGACCATCAACATTATCATTCTCATCACTGTGACTAGCAGTCTGACGCTCATGATGAGGGTCATTATCATCACTAGCATCACCACCTGCATTATTGAAACCATTAGGCAGAACATCGTCAAGCCGACCATCATCATTGTCTTCGTCGTGCCGTCGGCCTGATGGTCCTGGAGAAGCCTCTGGGAGCATGGGCCAGATGCGTGCGGGGGTCTCAGACGCGGGAACACTTGCGAATGCTCCTCGTCTTCCTTCTCCTCCTCATCAGATGCCTCCCCCTCGCACCCCCCTCGCTCCCCCCTCGCTCATCCCCGTCCTGTCCGTCCTCTTACTTGTTCCTGATCTCCCCTCTCCTTCCCCCCTCATCATTCTCTCATGCTGCCCCCCTCTCCCTGCAGTTCGAGGAGCGGGATGTGCAAGCGGGGGAGAGTCAGAGAGGGAGTGGTATGCAGCCAAGCGCGCAAGTACGCATGCAACATATCACCTGAGCGAGCACCCGTTGGCACATCCATAAGCACATCAAGCTAAGCTATGCGCAAGCCGTAAGCAAGCCCTAGATCACATCCCCAACAGCCACCCATTCTGAGTAATTTCTCCACTAGTGTAAAGCTTCTATGCTGGAGCGAACGCTGATCCTCACACTCATAGGATGCGGACGTGCGCAAGCATCATATACCAACAACCACACATGCGCGCACCCTTGTAATTCCCCACCTATTGAATGAAGCTGGGAAAAACGTGTCATGTCATGTGATGCTCGACTCACCAGCATGTCGCGTGAAACTGACATCTGTTGCCTGGCCCGCGCCACTTCGCGGAGGGTGCACAAGAGGGCAACACAACCGATGCATGCGGTCAAGACTGAAAAGCAAAACGCCCCGCTGCCTTGTCGTCAGCATCCTTCGCTGCGTCCTCATTTGCATAGTCGTGCATCCCATTGCCCATGTGCGTTGCGAAGCCGCCCTAGCCTAATGTAGTATGTACATGCACGGCGACTGAATGCAAAACGCCTGGTGTGTCAATGCGTCTACGCTCCATGCTTGAACAATGTTGCCGCATCGCTCCCTGGGTTCTCCGCCACAAGCTCTTCACTTTACAAACCTCATCCTCTACCTGAACTTGCAATGTCCCAGATGGTGACAAGTCTCCTGCCCCAACAATCCAATTATATTCACGGGATCTAATTTTCTTCGAGGAGCATCCAAGACTTCCTGGGTCCACACAATCTACTCTGGACGCATTCGATGATGAGCGGGGGGGCTGCACCCGAGCGCAGAACGCAATCCGCCAAACAGCGCGCGTCCCCTCCAGTTCCTGGCCGCTTGCATGGCAGCGGCGGGATCGAAAGGCACCTCTACCCGTGGGTTGAACGACATCGTTACGTGGTCTCGACCGTCCGATTCTTGTGGCCTGGCCATCGCACACCTGTGTCAGAATTCGCCCACTCGTTTCGCTCCCTGGCGCCCTTCACGGCCCCGCGAAGGCGCCAAACTGGCCAGACATAGCCTCTGAAGTGCTGCAGTATGGTCCAGGACGGACCTGTGATACACACATGACTCTCATGATATGCCCGTGATGCCTCGTGGAGCCACGTGGGTCCACAAGAGGATTCTAAGGAGCCTTCCAGCAGCGCCCTCGGAGGCTCAAGACATTGGATCAGTACACTCAAGGTGGCTCATGCACCGATGTGGAGACGTGCCCTGGAAGATCCCGCGAAGCGTTGGATACATGGATTGGCTTCCCGCACTCGGGGGCGGGAAACCATCCAAATCAAACGCTCCAGAATATTCCCGGGAACGCGCGTCCGAGTTGGTGGACATGGATGAACTTCCAGGCGTCGAACGACGGCCCCAGAGAGCTCCAAGAGGCGCCCCACATGGCCCGAGACAACCGCCAGAGGGGCCGCCCCAATCCAGTCGTTTGCTTTCCCGGCAATCCTGTGGTGTGGGGTCCTCGTTTTGAAGAGACAGCGCCCCGCGTCTCCTCCTTCCTTCCTCCTCGCCCCTCCTCCATCTCTGCCTCTGCCCTTCGCATGTCCACCATTTCAATGCACCCAGCACAACGTTTCGTGGCCCCATGGGGAGCCCCACCGAAGGCCCCAATGGCACAGTCCGCATGGCGTACCCGCGTCCGATTTGGCACACCGCTCACACGTTTCGTGGCCCCATAGGGAAATCCACTGAAGGCCCCAATGGCATAGCCCGCATGGCGTGCCCGCGCGCGATTCGGCGCACCCCTCACACGTTTCGTGGCCCCATATGGAGCTCCACCGAAGGCTCCACTGGCACAGTCCGCATGGCGTACCCGCGCCCGAGTTGGTACACACCTCATAAGCTTTGTGGCCCCATAGGGAGGTCCACCGAAAGCCCCAGTGGCACGGTCCGCATGGATTACGCGCATCTGATTTGGCACACCCGTCACACGTTTCGTGGCCCCAGAGGGAACTCTTCCGAAGGCCCTAGTGGCACAATCCGCATGGCGTACCCGCACGCGATTTTGGCACACCCCTCACACGTTTCGTGGCTTCGTATGGGGAGCCCCACCGAATGCCCAAGTGGCACAGTTCGCGTGGCGTCCCCGCATCCGATTCGGCACACCCCTCACACGTTCTGTGGCCCCAGGGGGAGCTCCAACGAAGGCCCCAATGGCACAGTCCGCGTGGCGTACCCGCGCCCGATTTGGCACACCGCTCACACGTTTCGTGGCCCCATCGGGAGCTCCATCGAAGGCTCCAACGGCATAGCCTGCATGGCGTACCCGCGCCCGATGTGGCACGCCGCTCACACGTTTCGTGGCCCCATCGGGAGCTCCATCGAATGCTCCAATAGCATAGCCCGCATGGCGTACCCGCGCCCGATGTGGCACACCGCTCACACGTTTCATGGCCCCATAGGGAGCTCCATCGAATGCTCCAAGTGGCACAGTCCGCATGGCGTACCCGCGCCCGATGTGGCACACCGCTCACACGTTTCGTGGCCCCATCGGGAGCTCCATCGAAGGCTCCAGTGGCATAGCCCGCATGGCGTACCCGCGCCCGATTTGGCACACCGCTCACACGTTTCGTGGCCCCAGAGGGAACTCTTCCGAAGGCCCTAGTGGCACAATCCGCATGGGGTACCCGCACGCGATTTGGCACATCCCTCAAACGCTTCGTGGCCCCATGGGGAGCCCCACCGAAGGCCCCAATGGCACGGTCCGCATGGCGTACCCGCGCCGGATTTGGCACACCCCTCGCACGCGTCGTGGCCCCGTAGGCAGCTCCGGTGCAGGCGGCCCCGCCCCGTTTCGGCACTCCCCTCACGCGTGTCGTGGCCCCATGAGGGGCTCCACCGAGGGCGATACCTACAACGACGGTGTTCACAACTGCAGATGGTTGGGCCCTTCGCCCACAGAGATGTTTTTTTTTGGGGGGGGGGGCAGGCCGCTGAGCGTGCGAAGCGCTGGTGGCGACAATCGCGGCCGCGCACGCGCGGGCATGGCCAGACAAGCAACGCCGGAGAGCGGAGAAGCGGTGGAGTGAAGGACAGTCCTGCCTGAGCCTGGCCCTCTGCTCCACAGATCACGCCCGCCCTTCTCCCGCGGCAAGGCGAGCACCAGAAAGCGGGGCCCCAGGCCAGGCCCCCCTCCTCCCCCACCTCCCCGACGTCACGGCGTCTTCACAACGTGAACCCCGAAAATCTGGAATCCTTCCTGGGAACAGGTTCGTAATCCAGATTTTTTGTTTTAAGAATAATAATGTATTACCATTATTATTATTACTACTACTATTACTATTGCTATTACTATTATGATTCTTATTGCTATTATTACTATTCTTCTTCTTCTTCTTCTTCTTATTATTATTATTATTATCATTATTATTATGATTATGATTATAGACGCTCCAAGACCGGACCAAGGATATAGATATCCGGGCGAAAGACCCAACCATATGCAGTTGTGAGTAACGCGTTGTGGGTGCCGCTTTCGGTAGAACTCCCTATTGGGCCACGAAGCGCGTGAGGGACGTGCCGTAATGGGTGGGGGAGACGCATGCGGGCGGTGCCACTAGGGCCTTCGGTGGGGCTCATGGGCCACGAAACGCTGTCCTGGTGCCCTTCGCTGGAGCTCCCGATGAAGCCCCGAAGCGCTGTATTGGTGGGGGAAACGCATGCGGGCGGTACAGCTGGGGTCTTTATGTGGAGCTCCCTACTGGGCCACGAAACGCTGCACTGGGTGGTGGCCGACGCATGCGGGCGGTGCCACTGGGACCTTCGGTGGAGCTCCTTATGGTGCCACGGGAGGAGGGGAAGCATGCGGGCGTTGCCACTGGGGCCTTCGGTGGCTACTGGAGCTCCTTACGGGGCCACGAAACGCTGTACGGGGTGGCGGGGACGCATGCGGGCGGTGCCACTGGGGCTTGGTGGAAGTCCCAATCAATGGGGCCGCGAAGTGCAATACCGGGTGGTGGACGACGCATGCGGGCGGTGCCACTGGGGTCTTTCTGTGGAGCTCCCTATGGGGCCACGAAGCGCTGTACTGGGTGTGACGGACGCATGTGGCCACCCCCACTGGGGCCTTAGGTGGAGCTCCCTATGGGGCCACGACGCGCTGTACTGGGTGTGGCGGGCGCATGTGGCCACCCCACCTGGGGCCTTGGGTAGAGCTTCCCGTGGGGCCACGAAGCGCTGTACTGGGTGTGGCGGACGCATGTGACCACCCCCACTGGGGCCGCAGGTGGAGCTCCCTATGGGGCCACGAAGCGCTGTACTGGGTGTGGCGGACGCATGTGACCACCCCCACTGGGACTGCAGGTGGAGCTTCCGATGGGGAACGCTGCAGTGGGTGTGGCGGACGCATGTGGCCACCCCCACTGGAGCCTTGGGTAGAGCTTCCTGTGGGGCCACGAAGCGCTGCACTGGGTGTGGCGGGCGCATGTGGCCACCCCCACTGGGGCCTTAGGTGGAGCTCGCTATGGGGCCACGATGCGCTGTACTGGGTGTGGCGGACGCATGTGGCCACGCCATTGGGGCCGCAGATGGAGCTCCGTATGGGGCCACGAAACGCTGCACTGGGTGTGGCGGACGCATGCGGCCACCCCCACAGGGGCCGCAGATGGGGCTCCCTATGGGGCCACGAAACGCTGCACTGGGTGTGGCGGACGCATGCGGCCACCCCCACAGGGGCCTTAGGTGGAGCTCCCTATGGGGCCACGACGCGCTGTACTGGGTATGGCGGACGCATGTGGCCACCCCCACTGGGGCCTTAGGTGGAGCTTCCCAATGGGCTCCGAAGCGCTGTGCTGGGTGTGGCGGACGCATGTGCCCCCCCCCACCCCCCCACTGGGGCCTTGCGTGGAACTCCCTATGGGGCCACGATGCCCTGTACTGGGTGTGGCGGGCGCATGTGGCCACCCCCACTGGGGCCGCAGGTGGGGCTCCCTATGGGGTCACGAAACGCTGTACTGGGTGTGGCGGACGCATGTAGCCACCCCCATTGGGGCCGCACGTTGAGCTCCCTATGGGGCCACGAAGCGCTGCACTGGGTGTGGCGGACGCATGTGGCCACCTCCACTGGGGCCTTCGGTGGAGCTCCCCATGGGGCCACGAAGCGCTATACTGGGTCAGTGAAGCGCAAGGAGGAGGGAGGCGGGGGGAGGGGGAGGAGAGAGGAGGGACGAGGGAGGAGGAGGAGGAGGAGACTCGGGGACCGTCTCTTCAAAACGAGGACCCAACACCACAAGATGGTGGGAAAAACAAGCCTCAAGAACATGGAACCCTCCGCCGGCCAACACACACACAGAACATCCAAGGGCACCCTCTTCAGGATGCACAATCACATCCAACAAACACGCAGAACATTAGGGTACCCTCCCAGCACCGACCTCGATCTTATATTTCGGCTGCACGCAAGAGTGACCCTAGGCAAGAGTGACTTTAATGCGCGGCCTGGGGGGCGCCTTTTGGGACACCACCAGGCGCGCAAGGCTGATATCTGGGTTCGACTGTGAGGACCCCCGGAAGCCAAAGTAGCGAGAAACCTTCCATCATGGTGTTCCACGACGCGAGGGGGGTCTGGGCTTAAGTCGGACGTGTCCCTCTACAGGGGGAATGTTCAAACATAGTTTTAAACATAATCAGGGGAGGCTTTTTTGCATCTTTTTTGACTCGTTTGGAATTTTTCGGCTACTTCTCATTTTTCGCCCAAAATCCACCTGTGGGGGGACATGCCAGACCTAGGTCTGGGCCTGGGTCGCCTCCCTGCGGCGGCGGGCTCCTTGTCCGCCTCGTCCGGCGCCGCCCTGTCCTTGTGGACGACCACGCCCGTGTCGATCAGGTACCCAGCGCGGAGGGGGACGGCGAGGAGCCGGACCAGCAGGAGGAGGAGGAGGAGGAGGAGGAGGAGGAGGAGGAGGAGGGGAGGAGGAAGAGGAGGAGGAGGAGGAGGAGGAGGAGGAGGAGGAAGGAGGAGGAGGAGGGGAGGAGGAGGAGGAGGAGGAGGAAGAGGAGGGGATTCAATTTTTTGGGGGCATTCTGATTCCCTTCTGGAGCCTCCTGGAGCCTCCTGGAGGCTCCCCGTGGAGGAGGAGGAACAGAACCAGCGACGATGGCGAGAGGGATGGCTGAGGCCGCTGGGGATGGCTGAGCTCACTGAGATTTTCCCACAGGATCTCCTGCACAGGATAGGCGCAGTCAGTCCCGTTGGGGGCAAGGAATGGCTGGGCCCAGGGAGGATTGATGGACGCAGTGGGGCTGTTTGTTTTTCCCCTGGAGATGCAGTGGGGGCACGGCCACAAGAAACCCAAGGCCTGCTGAACGCGAAATCCCACCAGCCCTTTAGGGCGTGAGTGGTTTAGCGAGCCCCCTCTGTCCTCAACCCCCCTTCTTCCCCTTCGGGGAGGGGTTTACCCCTCCCCCTCCCCCCTCCCCCTGGGCCTGGAGAGGGAGTTCCGCGGGTCGTCAGGGGGGTCTTTTTCGACGCCTGGGAGGGCCAAAAAACGACGACCCTCACGAGGATTCTGGCCCCGACGGGGGGGCACTCTTGTAGCCCCCTCCTCTTCTGTGAAGCCAGAATCCTTGCTTTTACGAGGGTTTTGGCCCCATTTTGGCCTCCCGAGGGGGCCGCGCTCATCTTCCTTCATAGCAGCATCATTGATTTTACGAGGGTTTTGGGCTCATTTTGCCCTTCTCAGGGGGCAGCGCTTCTTTGCGCTTCTGAGGAGGTCGCAAGAGGCTCCAAGATGGCCCCAAGAGGCCCCCAGGAGCCTCCCAAGAGGCCTCCAAGAGGCCCCCAAGAGGCCCCCAAGAGGCCCCAAGAGGCCCCCAAGAGGCCCCCAAGAGGCCCCCAAGAGGCCCCCAGAGGCCCCAGGAGCCCAAGAGGCCCCCAAGAGGCCCCCAAGAGGCCCCCAAGAGGCCCCAAGAGGCTCCAAGAGGCCCCCAAGAGGCCCCACGAGGAGCCCGAACGACTCACACCAGGACGAGGGGCCCGAACGACTCACACCACGAAGAGCCCGAACGACTCACACCACAAGGAGGGGCCCGAACGACTCACACCAGGACGAGGCGCCCGAACGACTCACACCACGAGGAGCCCGAACGACTCACACCACGACGCGGGCCCCGAACGACTCACACCACGAGGAGCCCGAACGAGTCACACCAGGAGGAGGGGCCCGAACGACTCACACCAGGATGAGGGGCCCGAACAACTCACACCACGAGAAGCCCGAACGACTCACACCAGGACGAAGAGCCCGAACGAATCACACCACGAAGAGCCCAGAACGACTCACACCAGGACGAGAAACCCCAAACGACTCAAATCACGAGGAGCGCTTTCTCTCCCTCCTCCTGCGCCTCGTCCTTCTCCCGCTCCCCCCACAAGGAGGATGTACAAGGAGGCGGGAGGAAGGAGGAACCGGGGAGATATGCGGGGCCAAACGGACACACGCCTGAGTTGGTGTTGTGAGATGGGCTGGTGGGGATACGCGAAGCGTGCAGAATTTCCTGACGCCCGTAGGAAACCATCGCGGAACGCACGGAGCGAAGAAACCCACGATGCCCTGACGAAAATAATCTGGTTTCTTGGTACGCGCTCACGCTATAACACATGTTACCCACCAGTGGCGGGTGTGGGCGGATCAAAAACGGGGTGGGTGGATGGGGGGGGAACGGTACTAGGACGGCTGGACCTAAGACATAATAACATCCTTCCCGAACATGAGACCCTCCGCCAGGACATAATAACCATCCTTTAGGGTGCCCTTCCCCAAGATGCACAAGAACATCCAACAAGCACGAAGAACATGAGAGTACCCTCCCAGAACCGACCTGGACCTTATACCTCGGTCCGACCATTGCACATGTTACCCGGGGCGGGTGTGAGGGGTCAAAAGGGACGGGTTGGTGAGGGGGGGAACGGTACTAGCGACGGAACGGAGGCGACCGAGGAGGGGCGACCACTAGATAGCAGGAGGAGCAGGGAGGAGGAGCACTGGAGCAGCAGGGAGGAGGACCATAGGAACAGGAGGAGGGCCAGCAGGAGGAGCAGCAGGAGGTGCAGCAGTAAAAGCAGCAGGAGGAGCAGGGGAAGCAGCAGGAGCAGCAGCAGCAGGTGGAACAGCATGAGGAGCAGCATGAGCGAATGAGGAGCAGCAGGAACAGCAGCAGGAGGAGGAGCAGCAGGAGGTGCAGCAGGAGGTGCAGTATGAGAGGCAGCAGAAGGAACAGCAGGAGCAGCAGCAGGAGGAGCAGCAGGAGCTGCAGCAGGGGAAGCAACAGCCGCCGCCGCCGCAGCAGCAGCAGTAGCAGCAGCAGCAGCAGCAGCAGGAGGAGCCGCATGAGCGAAGGAGGAGCAGCAGGAGCAGCAGCAGTATTAGCAGCAGCAGGAGCAGCATGGGAACCAGCAGCAGAAGCTGCGGCATGAGGGACAGCATGAGGAGCAGCAGGAGGAACAGCACAATGAGCGGCACACAGAGCATCAGGATGAGCAGCAGGAGGAACAGCAAGATGGGCATCAGAGCAGGAGGTGCAGCAAGAGCAGCAGAAACAGGAACAGGGAAGAGGAGCTCCGTAGCAGCAACCAGGAAGAGCAGCAACAGGAACAACAAGGGCAGCACCTGAGGAAACGCACCGTGGGAGCAGGCAGGAGTAGCAGCAGGAGCACGATGAACACCAGAGGAGCAAGAGCATCAGGATGAGGAGGAGGAGGAGGAGGAGGAGGAGGAGGAGGAGGAGGAGGAGGAGGAGGAGCAGCAGCAGCAGCAGAAGGGAGGAAGAGGAGTAGCAGGGGGAGCAACAGGAGAAGCAGCAGGAACAGGAGGAGGAGGAGGAAGAAGAAGAAGATGAGGAGCAGCAGGAGCAGCAGGCAGGAGGGGCCGGCAAAAGGAGCAAGGCAAGCAGGAGGCTCAGGCAGGAGCAGCATGAGGCCCGAGGAGCAGCAGAGCAGCAGGAGGTGCGGGGTGGAGGGCAAGGGGCGGTGGTATGGCCGGACCTGGGACACAATCACATCCTTCAAAGACCTGAGACCCTCCGCCGGCCCGAACACAGAACATCTAAGGGCACCCTCCCACAAGGATGCACAAACACATCCCGCAAGCAGGAAGAACATCAGGGTACCCTACCCGAACCGACCTCTCGATCTTCCGATCTTATGCCTCGGTCCGACCCTGACACGTGTCCTCAGTTCGGCCTGCCTTCTGCGGAGCGCGCGGAGCGCCCCCCCCCCCCCCCCCCCCCGACGTGTCGCCCTGCCCATCCCAGACGGCAGGGGGGCGGGAGCGACGAGGGGCCGGCCGCGAGGTCACGGGATCTCCGCGGCGAGCCACGGCCCCAGCGCCAGGGACAGCGCGTGGGCGATGCCGAACTTGGGCACGTTGTTCCTGGTGGCAGCGCGGAGGATGCCAGGCAGATCCAAGCGGCCAACAGACGTTTCGCTCAGGAGCGCTCCGGCGGGAGCGCAAAGCGTCACTTGCACCAGGAAGCTGACGCCAGTCTCCCTCCGATCATCCACTTTGCTTCGTGGCCATGCTCGATACATCCTGACGAGACAAGAGCGGGACACGTTAGTAGTC